TGAATAATTTTTAGACAGTGTTGTTATTAGGAGTTGAAATAGAGGATGAATGAGGTCCATTTCTTTGTATTAGTCGAGAGAGCGGGGTGGGAGATAGAGAAGTAGAAAAGGGAAGAAGAGTCAAGGACTCTGTGTGAGAAGCGAAGGAGGCTCATGCCCTAGCCGAGCAAAGAGGAAGAAAGGAAAAAACGACTGTGAAAGAAAAGGAAGATGAGGAAGGAGGACGCTTGTAGGCACCAGATTCAAGCAAGTGAAGGTCGTTTGGGTGCTCTCAAGAAGAAAGAAGAAAAACAAGAAGCCAAAGGAGGAGGAGAAGGAAGAGGAGGAAGGATTGTGTGGCTTTTCTCTGTCGTGCAAAGTTTGCCGTGCTCGATCGGCCATGAGAGGTAGAAGAGGGAGGAGATCGACCCTTTGTACTATGTTGAAGTCGAGGGCTCTGTGTGAAAAGCGAATGAGACTCGCAGAGCAAAGAGGAAGGAAGGAAGAAACGACAGTGAAGGAAAAAGAAGACAAAGAAGGAGAAGAGGCTTGTAAACACCAAAGTCGAGCGAGTGAAGGTCGTTTGGGTGCGCTCTAGAAGAAGAAGAAATAGAAGAAGCCAAAGGTGAAGAAGAAGAAGTTGAAGGAGAAAAAGGAATAGGAGAAAGGATTGTGTAGCTTTTCTCAATCATGCAAAGCTTACCGTGCTTGACCGGCCACGAGCGGTAGAAGAGGGAGGAGGTTGACTCTTTCTACTATGTTGAAGTCGAGCCAAGCTCAAATGAAGAGGAAGGGGAGGTGGCTCTTTGTGTTGTACTAGGTCTAACTGAGCTTGAAGGAAGAAGAAGAAAAGGGGAGACGAGGCAGCTCATGCGTGTGGGATTTCTTTAGAAGGAAGTTGAAGTTTATGAATAGGAAATCGACCGAGCCACTATGAAGCTAAGAGTAGGTTTATTTATTTTAATTAATGAATTAAATGAATGTTTATTTTGTTAAGGGTTAATGGTATGTTTAATAAAGGAGGATTGAAACTATAGAAATCTCAGATTTGAGGAATATCAAGATTAATATTTGTGCAAAAGAAAAGGAGATAATTGAGGTAGGTTTATGGTTAATTTCATATATAGGATTTTACATAATTAATTTAATGTACTAATAGCCTTTTTTATTATTTTAGTTAGAAGCAAAGAGGAAAGACCTTAGATTGAAAATTTAGAAGCAACTTCAGTGGAGGTAAGGGTTATACATTTATTATAAAATTTTATTTAATAAAATGTCACTAAAATTATATTGAATTTTTCTAGAGTTAGAATCTGTGATTAGAATCGAAAAATAACTTAAAATCCTTATACGTGCACTTTTAATTGAAATAGATGGAGTAAAAGGAAGTAAAGTGAAGGAATTAACTTCTATAGAGGTCACTTAAAGGTTAAAGTGAGTGACTATTTTCTTGTATGTATTAAATTGATGTTTTACTAAATAAAGACTTCTATAATGCTTCAGCTTTTATAATTATATGTATGTTCTTAGTTAAAAAAATCATTGAGATGAATGAAATTATTAAAAAGAAAAATGATAGTTCAATGAATTTTAAAGGACGCAATTAAAGGAAATGAAATGTAAAGAGTTGAGTAATTCAAGATTGCCCCTAGATAGTACTGGCAGAGAATGTGATATATTTGTGCACGAGAAATAAAATGAAAATGATAAAGGTGTACCTTTGGGTACAAAATTTTGAAGGTACTTACGGATAGATTTTTGATGATACATTTAGATATAATTGTAATCATGATACGACTTTTTAAATATGCTAAAAAGAGTAAATACTTAAATTTAAACGTAAATTGTTAAATTTAAAATGAAAGCTTACAGTTTAATTAATTAATGAATTACATTTCTTTTGGTCATTCACGTATAGCATTTGCATACTAATCTAATACAGAAAAAGATTGAAATTCATCATTAAGTCGAGAAAACTTATTATTTAAATTAATTGTTTCTATCAAGTAAAATATTAGGTTAATATGACTAACAGAAGGGATTTAGTTTGCATGAGAACTATTGCTGATATGTGTTGTGTTGTGTTGTGTGGTTGTAGTTATTGTACTATTTCCTTCTGAGTAGTGAAACTGTTGTGACTTGGTTTAAGATATTTTATTTGCAGATTATGTGTTAAATTTGGATGATTTGATTTCTGTGTAATGTATTTTGTGGTTTCTTAACGACTCTTCCACGAATTAAGAGTTATGAAAATATGTGAAAAATAAATGAAATGACAATACCTTCCAACCGCATTTCCTGACTTAATTAATGCTAAGCTACCATTCTGTATAGTGACAACGTGAAACTACAAGATGGTTTTTTTTCCCATTCTCAAATAGAGACATTGCCAATAATAACATCATCAAAACAACTCTAATATCTCGGGTTAATCTTAATTAACACAGGCAAAAAATCAGCAATAAAGAATGTCATTTGGCCACATTTCGATAAACGAAGGGCGCAATCTATAAACAATATTCTAGTTCATTATAATTAAGGCATGAAATAATTTTCATGCACCATAAATGGGCCTTGATTCTGCTGGATTAGAAATGTGTAATTTTTTATGCCTAGATGAGATCACGGATAAGGAAATCCCCTATGAATGACAAGCTCAATAAGTCATAGAATTTCTAGGTATAGACAAGCTCTGATCCTTGCGAACATACTCCAAATGATCATGTCCTCTCAAGATGTATGTACCTGCACTAGGGCCATGTTGCAACCTCGATTGCACTACAACTGTATCCTTCAAACAAGTGTCACAACCTTGCATGAGTCACATTTGCTCCTTTAAGACATGTGCCACTTCAATACTACAATCCTTGTTACACCTCAGTCATGTCCTTTAAGCTTTACATTGCAACCTCATTTGCATTGCAATTGCCATCGCCTCTAGACCTGCACCACAGTCACACTTGCAACATAATCATCTCCTCAAAGGCCTATGTCGCTTGTAGTCATCTTTTCTTAGACTTGGACTACAACCTCACTTATGTCATATTTGTTGCTTAATCAGGACAAGTGTCATAATCTTGCATGTCGCATAATAATTCCCTTCCATACATCCATTATAGTGGTCTCATTGTGAGGTATACACCATAACTATCTCCAATAAGACTAATGGCAAACATCTTTAGTAAGCTTAAACCATAATTATGTCTAGTCAGGATTGCCCAACGAAAACCTAAGGCCACATAATAATCCCAATCATGCAAACATTTATGATGCCCACAACCAACAAATCTAGGGTACCCTCACCTTTATATTCTCTAATTGTCAAAGATGTACATTGCATTAAAGTCCTTCCAATTAATAGAAGATGGACTAATTGGGTCATACTCGGTTGTATTTCCTTACAAGAGTTTACTTTATAAGAAATCATCTATCCCACTCTATTCATCATTTGATTTATTTTTTTGATATAGAAAATAGCTAAGACAAGTAAGTTTAATCCTTACTCCACTAGCTCAATTTCTGGAAAGTATCTTTATAAAAATTCAGCCATTATGAACCCATCCTTTAACAAATTAGGAAGTATTAACTTTATAATTGCAATTATATTCATTAAAAAACTACACTTTGCAACCAAAGACATTAAGGCTTACATGTGAGATCACTTGCACACACTTTATTAAGCTCAGTTGATTTTCAAAATGATGACTATTTGAAATTGAATTGCAGCAAGTTGAGCTAACCGAAAACTAAAAACCAAAACCAAGATGACTAAAAGTGAAGCTCCAAAAAAACCCAAAATTTTCAATCAGATTTTTATTTTGGAGTTAAAAAACATTAATAATTGTTTTGATTAGATTGGTTCAATTCGCTTCTGTATAAATATACTATAGTCAGTCAACTGTCTTGATTTTCCATAAATTTGAAAATGGAAAGAGGTTTTAGATGTTATAGATTTAAAATCAATCATTAATTTCTGATTGCATGGCTCAAGATGAACCATATAACACATATTTGTATTTCATTTCTAGTTATTTGAATTTCCCAAACCCCAAAACTCTGCCAAGCCAAATTATAAGTCCATGAAATATCAGCAACTGAAATTGAATCAAATAGATTTTCAGTTTAAGCAGTTTTTTACCCAACCTTCCTCCATCAAACTAATATTTCTCTAACTAGACTGCTAATGGCACAACCTAGCATGAAACTTACAGGTACAGAGCCCCGGAGAAATAAAAGAATGGAAATCAATTAATAATTCAAGTCTCTTTAATCTGCTCTACCAATAAAAAAATAAAGTAATTTACAAATTGAATTTTATATCCACCATAAGAGAGAGGCAATCAATAACATTCTGTAATGACAAATGTGGCTAATCCCCATTGCATAATCAAAGGTCTTCATGTGTTCATCATTTCAACCCACATGTTTTTATATTAACATCACTACCAGATAGACCAAACAAAAACCAAAACTTGATTTAGAACTGAGAAACACAATAAGGTTCAACATATTTCTAAATATTATGGATTGCACAAAATCCATAAATACAACAATAGCTTAATGGTTTTCAATAGTAGAAACAACCCAAGGTGAGCAATTGCCCACCCTAAAATTTGAAATTTTAATTTTTTAACAGGCTGCAAAACAAACAAGTGATTTTGCCCTCTTCAATAAATTATTTTGCCCAATACTTCAGGAAAACAAAGTGTTTTGACTTAATTCCTAGTGTTCTCTTAATATTAATTTATTTACATAATAAGTTTGCTTAGATTTTGCACATGCATAGACAAGATTTTACCAAAGGAACTTGACAGCACGCACACAGAACCTAATTAATAGTATTGATAATCAAACAAGATACTAAGGGAATAATAACCATGACATATACCTTCATTGAAAAGAATTATATCGTTAACGGCCAAAAGAATTAATAGTAACAGTCAGATTCTGTGCCATAGCGCTTCAATCATCATAATTCATAAAATCAAAAACACAGAAAGAATTCACCATTCATAACTCACCTCAGGGCTCTCTGAAATGTCAGAAACCGCACTGATGAATGCGGTTCCATATCCCGTTGATGGATTAATCCACAAAGCGTCGAGAGCAAAGAAAACAGCTCCCAAAATAAACGTGAAATAGACCCATGAAGCGAGCTTCTGCTCCCCCAATTTGAAAACCGCAGAGTCCTCCCCGATCGGAGCATCGCCGCCGTCGGAATCGTCCTTCACCTCTGTCCCTCCAACCGCGCGAGTAGTCTCACTACGAAGCCGAAGCAAAGTGGTCGAGTATTTAGGAGTGGAGAAAGTGAAGGAGTTCCATGGATTTGAGCTTCTGGCAAGTTTAGGTCTGGAATGAAAGGGCAGAGATCGTGCAGAGCCCGTTTGGCCGCTCTGAAATTTTGGTGAGAGGGCGTGGAGGGTGGAGCTCGACGGGAGATTTGTATAAGCCATCAGCGACCTGCGAGCTCGAGTTCGGAGAGAGAACGGAGAGTACTGAAGACTTGAAATGTGCGGGTAAGGGAGCGGGCTCGTCGCATAGGTGGCGTAGGTATGATCCAACCGTCCAACTTTTTCATTTTTATTGGGATCGTGCGACTCCGGCTGATATTTGGCTCTATGCGGATGGTGGGCTTTCATTTATAAAATGGGATGATACCTATCCTAAAGTGTTTGTTCGTTTTAAATCCTAATCAAATTCGGGTCAACACTCCAAACTTGAGGGGGAGTGTTAAGAATTATAATAGAAAATAATTTATTCCTATAAAAAGTTATGAGAAATAAATTATTTTCATAATATAAGAAGATATTTCCTTTCCTATTTTATATTTATTCCTTTGATTGGAAATTACTTGTTTTATTATTTTATGTTATTTCCTATATCTCCTAATAATTAATATGAATTAATTATTGGAGATATTATATGATATATCTTTCATTTCATATAATTTCCTTTTTATTATTTTTTCTATTATAAAGTTCTTATATTATAAAGTTCTTGTAAGGGTTATTTATACCCTCGTTTATATCAATGAAATAATTGAGTATTTCACTTTATTCCGCATTATTCTGAAATTTCAACATGGTATCAGAGACTAGTTTTGTATTCTAGTCGTCAACCCTCCTGTGAGAATTGTCGGACTCCCTTCCTGCCATCCTCTGTGCAGGAAAGGGGGGAATAAAGAAATTTTCTCGATCGAGAGAGGCGATTGTGGAGGAAAGTGGGATTCCGACGACACTAACTCCATTTTCCAATTCAACGTCAACTCGACGACTCCACGGGGGAGATCCGCTCGGACCCCAATCTCAGCTTCGATCATTCGTATCCTCACACCAAGGCCATCATCAAGATCATTTCAAGCAAATTCAGTAAACTCGGGAGGGCGGCACTAGCGAAGCCGCCACCCGGGGAATATTTTGTTGTAAAAAACAAAAAAAGCCGTTCATTTTTCCTGCAGTATTTTTTCTTCCCTACCAAAGTGTCAGGGGGAGCTGCGTTTCCAGCCGACCTTTTCTCATGCAGTTTTTTTTATTCCCTGCCAAAGCGTCAAGGAGAGCTGCATTTCCAGCAAGTTATTTCTTCTGCAGTATTTTTTTCTTTCCTGTCAAAGCGTCAGGGGGAGCTGTGTTTTTAGCCGGTCATTTCTTCTGCAGTATTTGTTTCTTCCCTGGCCCAAGCATTAGGGTAGCCAACGATAACCGCGATTAACTAAAAATCAGTTTTCCTGTAGGTTGTTTCTTTCCCTGCAAAACTCAAAATTCAGCTAAGCCTGAATCCAACAAATTCAGCCAAGCCTGAATATCTTTTCTACGCCTAAACATATGACAGACAAAACTCAAAATTCAACCAAACCTGAATCTAACAAATTTAGCCAAGTCTGAATCACTCTTCTGTACCGAAGCATATGACAAACAAACTCAAAATTTAGTCAAGCCTGAATATAGCAAAATTAGACAATCTAAACGACCAATTTTTCTTCACTACTTAGCAAGTTTGGAATTATTAACATACATTCCAAACTTGAGGGGGAGTGTTAAGAATTATAATAAAAAATAATTTATTCCTATAAGAAGTTATGAGGAATAAATTATTTCCATAATATAAGGAGATATTTCCTTTCCTATTTTATATTTATTTCCTTATATTAAGAATTATTTGGTTTCCTATTTTATGTTATTTTATATATCTCCTAATAATTAATATGAATTAATTATTGGAGATATTATATGATATATCTTTCCTTTCATATAATTTCCTTTTTATTATTTTTCCTATTATAAAGTTCTTGTAAGGGTTATTTATACCCTCATTTATATCAATGAAATAATTGAGTATTTCACTTTATTCCGCATTATTCTGAAATTTCAACAAGTTCTGATTTTGAGCTAATTTCAAGTTGGAATGAATCCAAATATCAAATTGAGGCAGCTCGTTTGGATTCTGAACTAGATCTAGTCAATTTTGATCCTATTTTGAGTTGGAACGGATCCAAATATCAATTTAAGACAACTTGTTTCGATTTCGAGCCGAATCGAGCTCGATTCAATTTCGAATGAAACGGGCTCGAAATTGAATATAACTAGCCAATTTCAAATTACATTCATTCCATTCAAGCTAATTTTGCCTTTCATTCGAGTAATCAAACAAAATATGCCTTCTATATTGTTGTTATTTTGAATGACTCAAATTTAAATCATAAAATGTACAATTATTCAAAATATAAAGATAAAACCTATATACATCAACTCGCCGTCTAGCCTAATATTATAAAAAAAAATCTCTTTCAATATGAAAAATGTAGTAATAATAAATTTCAAAATCAATATGATCTTTTGGCAGCACAATTATGATGGTTATCACATGACTGATATTCACCTAAACTTCTACAATTTATCTTAGAACTGGAGCCCTCGTTAACGGCTTTGTTTGGAAGGGCTTCTTCCAAAAAAAAACTCCTTTAAAATAAACAGTCATATAAATGGAGCTTTTCCCAACGTTGCTATTAAACGAATTTTTCTCAAAGGTAAAACCCCATCAAATGATCCCAACATATAAACTCAGTTTGGTCTGCATTGAGCCAAACACAAACCAAGCCGAAACCAGTTCGAAATTCAAAAAAGTCACTTGCAACATACAAGCAAACTCATTCATCAAACTAAACAGCAACTGAACAGAGATAAAAAGCCAAGTCAAGGAACACCTCATGATTATATGAAATTATATCCATTCACCTAAACCAAAGTTGTTCGATCTGACATAACATTCCCATACCCTAAAATAGGTGACGGACGACTGTGATAAATATTACAAGAGAAGTGTACGTATTAATCAACAAATATTAAGCTAAATATTTTACATTAATTTTAGAAAATGGCAGAAGATGGTCACACACTATTTACAGTGTCTGCAAGCGATCGCAGTATGCATCCCAGCCCAGCTTTCTCCGTCAGTTTCTCGTGGATTCTAAGGCACTGATCGCATGTCGGTCGGTCACCAGTAGCCAGGCCACGGTAGAGGTACCTTTTCAACAATGAAATCAGTGGAGACAAATTACATACATACCACACAATTTTTATGTATTTACATATCTAACTCCCAAAGTTTCAAATTTATTTTTTTAGTACCTTGGTGTCATAAACCTATGCATGAAAACAAAAAGTGCATTTCATTTTTTAGAAGTAGATGCGAGAATTTAGGTGTGAGATATGTAAATACATAAGAATTGGTAGGTGCCCAATTAAATAGATAATGCTTGAGGCTGTAAGCAGCTCGCCATACAAAAAATGGTAATAATGGGAGAATATGGAGAGTCATTACATTTACCATTCTAAATTTGAATTGTTGCAAATGGTCATGCATTGCAGGATTTCATCACCACTATTTTAGTAACTAAATTCAAAATAATAGTAATTAAATTCATAAGTTTGATTAATAAATAGTCAATATATTGCTAAAAAATAACTTTGGGTAAACCATAGTAAGGTAGGACAGTCTATAATATAAACTAAGATGTTATGTATTACGATACGATAACAACAACAACAAGACTTCTTCTCATCAAGTGAGGTGGGCTACATGAATCCTTTTTCCGTGTCCTATTGAGTGCCATATTTTCATTTAATTCTAAAAATTAAGATTATTTTTTTATACATGCACAAGTGTTTTTAGGTTGAGATGTTATTCATTATAAAATTAAAATTATATACATCACAACTCATAAGTTACTAATTTATGATTTTAGCAACAAACTTGTCACTTTTAATATAAAGTCAATCAACACTTTTTCATTCCACAAGAAAATTTAACAATTGGAATACTATGAAATTCTATAAGAAAAACAGGACCAATCGTAAAATTTAACAACTATCAAGTTCGCGGTTCAAAAAGAAAATGCAGCACGTATTTTACTTTCGCAAAATCTTGATTAACACACAAATCAATGATTGATTAATTAAAGAAATAAGAAGATGGATAAAAATCACCATAAATGGATGAATGAGGCCTCATCTCCACAAACGTGAAATGAAGCACTTGAAAAATACACATTCAACAAGCCACATACAAGAAGAGAGCAAAACAATCTTTTTTTTTTTTAATGTTCAATCTTTAATGATTTTTAAATGCCTCCTCGAGAATCCTAATCATAATCTTCAAAACAATCTAAAACAAGAAATTACTAATTTCAAATTAGACAGAAGCAATAATGATCTCCTCAGAACATCCAGCATTAATGTCAACAATAGAAAATTCTCTACAAATTCTACAGCTCAATTTGTTAAGTCCAATTCATGTTTTACTTTAAGATACCATCAAAATATGAAGGAACAATGCTAAAGAGACCAAATAGTGCCAAGAATGGAAAGGTTCGATTCATAGCACAACGCTAGATGTCTCAAAAATTGTCCGATACATCAACTCGACCCGAACAACTTGAGAAATTTGGGTATAGGTTAACCGGATTAATTTTTGGGTTGAGTTCGGGCTAGGAATTTTAACGCGCTTAATTTTTCAAATCGGGTTTGGGTCGACACACCAATCAAAAATTGACTCAAAATCAACTAATCAACCATCCAGCCCAAAATCGACTAGAAATCAACCTGAATACTTGTTATGTATTACATTAAACGGATTATGTGTCGGGTTCAAATTAGCGAGTTGAAAAAGGCTTTGTCGAAGATGGACCTTCTCACCCATTTAATATGCAGGTCAGGTTCGGGTCAAGCAATTTCGGGTTGGTTCAATTTTGTGTCAGATCCGAACTCAGCCTTCGAACCCGATTTGACACCCCTAAAGACATAAAGGCAAAATCCATAGCCTAAAGGCGGCCAGGGGAAAATAACATATAGGGAAACAATGGGAACCTTGGCCATAAAGGCAAGAAGACAACAACATTGTGAAACTAAGAAAATAAATAAAATTAAATTAAAAATTAAAAAACAACATTGTCAAACTGCAGCAGTTCATGGCACTATGGTAGTGATTCGGAACTCCTATAAGTGTTGATTCGAATATTATGAAGGCATACAATAATAAGATAGATTTTACAAATTTGTCAAAATACCAAAGAACATATAACAAACACGAGAAACATATTTTTACACTCGAAATAAACTAGAAACAAATCAAAGAATATATACACACACACACACACATATATATATATATATATATATATAAATCGCATACCCAAAGAACAAAAAATTTAAGATATGCATCAAAATAAACGAGAAAACAAAAACAAAGAATCGATAAATATCAATTGCATTCCCAATGAAACAAAAAAAATTAAGATTTGCATCAGAATAAACTAGAAAACAAAAGCTAACAATCAATAAATATGAATATAATTCCCAATGAAAAAAAAAATTTAAAATTTGCATCATACAGCTCCTAGGAGGAATTCCTCCGAAAAAAATAAAGATGAAAAAATTTTGAAATAATCTAAAATGTTACAATTTTCATGAGATAAATTTTTCTTGTGTATCTTCAAAACAATGCAAGCATGAGGGAAATCAAGTGCTCGTCTAGGAATAGTTGGGATAAGGGTAAAGTTACTTGCAAAATGAAGAAGCAAAAAAAAGGAAGATTTACAAACATACCACTCAATTCTTACATATTTACATATTTAACACCTAAACTTCAATTTTATCATACATATCACTTTACCTATGTATTAAAAGAAGTATTTCACGTTTAAAAGTTAAAATGGAGGAATATTTGATGTCGTATAAAAGCTTTAGGTGGTATAAATATCAAATATAAAAAGCAAAATTTAAGTGTTAGATATGTAAATACATAGGAATTGGATGGTATGTATGTAAATGTCCCCAAATAATGTGTATTCCTTGCGGATAATCTTCCACTGTCATCTGCACTTTCATAAGCATCCAAAAAGATCAATCTTACAATAAATAAAAAAACATAGTGAGCCGTTCCAAAATCTATAGATTCTTTTTTAGTGAAGGATATACAATGAGTTCAGCCTATGATGGCTAAGATATGTGATGAGTAGACAAAGCTTGATGGACAGCTGAGTTATAATTAGGCTCATAGAATTGAACGGAAAGAATTGGCACTCCAGGAAACGTTCCACACAATTAACAATCATATAACTAATTTTGAAGTAATTTAGGATGATTTACATACAAACCACTCAATTCCTATGTATTTACATATCTAACACCTAAACTTTAATTTTCAAATATATGCCAACTTACCTATGCATGAAAAGTTGTCTTTCACTTTTTAAAAGTGAAAATAGAGTTCTTTTTTATATAAAAAGCCGTCTTTCTGTCTTTCACCTTTTTGGTGTTTGATAATTATTTGAAGATTGTTCCATCATGGTTAGATTATGAATTATCTCAAAGACTGATATTATAAAGACCAGTCGACAAAACTTGAAAATGCCCCTTAAATTGTTGTATTCATCTTGAATCTCATCAGCCATAAACAACTATTTTCTAAAATAACATTTACCTGGAATGGATGTCTAAGTACATTTAGTTCAAATAGCACCATTTCTTCCAAAATAAATAAAAAAAATAACTAAGAACCCGCAGAGGTAAAATATAAACCGTTTTTTCTATGGGGATAGCGGATAAAAGTCCATGCGCATGGATGACCTACAACCTCGTCGATGGCACCAAATTATGGTATCAGTTAACAAATTTTCATATTAGAAAAATAATCCTCATATAGTGAGCAATATAGGTTTATTTCATAGTAATCTAGCAGTTATACTCATTCCTCCATTATAAATAAAGGAGTTCTGGAGTGCATAACCTCCATTAGATAGCTTTAGCACCAAAATTTTTTTTCAAAATGTGACGTGGCCAACTATGTTGTTCTTACATGGTTGCTCAACAGCCTTGAACCTTCTATTACATCAACTATAATGCTTCAAAACTATCAAAAAGATTGTGAAATCTTCTTTAGTCGTACACTTAATAGAAAGGTAATATGTCTGATATCTAAAGTCTTTATTTTGAGATTTTAACTCTTTATTTTGAGATTTTCACTCATCAGCAAAATAATATGCAGATCCATTAGTATTAATAAGAAGGTTTTAAAAACCGGACCAGATATTGAACCGGAAGAGGAGGATGTTCAAGGTTCAACAATTGAACCGGAGTTGAGCCAGAGGTTGAATCGGTAGACGTTATAAATATAAAAAATTATTAAATATAACTTAAATGGCATAACAATGTCAAAGTATATGCAGTATAAAAAATATATCATGAAATATAAATCATATGTGAAATGAAACAACTCATTTAAATGACTAATATTTTCTTCTAGTATAGATAGCAATGTCGGTTCCTTAAACTATTTCATTCCATTACATTAAACTATTGTTTCTCTAAAAAGAATTAAAAATAAGAAAATGTTAGCATCAAATAAAAAAGATTTGTAAGTAAACAAAAGATAAAACGATAAAATTGAATACACAATTGCATATAATTATAATAGACAATATCTAATGTGAAAAAAAGTGCTTATAAATTAAAACAACGATAAATCAATAAGCATGATACACTATTACTGCAAGAAGACAAGCAATTTAGTATTATAATCCAAAAAATATCTCTTAGGAAGCACTTTAAAAATAAATTGGTTCAACGAATGAAATGCCGGTTCATTGCAGTTTAATTCGGGGATGATTTTTAGGCCAACCAAAATCGAACCTCCGGCCGGTTCAAGGTCGAACTGGCTGGTTCGGTTCGGTTTTCTAAACCTTGATTAATAATAAAAAAAATGGGGATGAGTTACTTTAGTACCAACACTTAATTCTTGATTGAAGAAACAAAATGAAGAATTTCTTGATGTAAAAAAAGAAGAATAAATAAATTGAGAAATGATTATATCAGAATAATTGCAAGAGTAGAATCTATTATATATAGAAGATACTTACAAATATAACTTGTTTGGAAAATGCACCCTTAGCACATTTAGATAAAATTAAGATGAAAAGATTAGAAAAACAAATTTGTAGGCAAAAGATAGCATGAATAACAATTGCACAAAAATATTTCTACATATTAAATCTAACATCTTGTATAACAAATTAAAAAATACATAAAAACTGACAATTCATAGATCCAACCCTAAAATAATTAGGATATAGCAAATGGTGATGATATTGTTTAAAATAAAGACCAAAATGAAATTAAACTATCAACAACACATTGATAGTTTTTTTTTTTTGGTTGCTTCAATTCTAATGTATTCAAAGTTTAAGAAGGTGAATCATGAATGATCAAATAAGAAACACAAAATAAACACCCTATTTGCATTGATTAACTTTTATTTGCTATATAAACACTGAAAACTATATCATTTACAAATAGAACCTTCTACAACATACAAAGATCTCAAGAGGTAAAACTGAATAAAAGGAAAATAATTAATTCAAAATAGGCTAAGAGCTGGAGGCCAACCACCGAACCACTTACCCGCTGCTCATCAATAAACTAAACTTCCTTGCCCGGTGCAACAATAGATGCTAGCTAACTTAAAAGGTCATAAAAATTAGGGAAATTTACATCCATAACACACAATTCTTTTACATTTATAAATCTTACACCTAAACTTCCATATTTGCATTTATAGCACTTTGGTATTAACTTTTAAAACGAAAGTGATTGGGTTATCTTTGATGTTATATTAAAGATACGAGTGCTATGTAGCCAAATATTAAAATTTGAGTGTCAGATATGTAAATACATAAGAATTGTGTGATATGTATGTAATTTTTGCTACACTAAATTTCCATTCACTGCTACAAAAAAAAAACAAAAACATACTACAATCTTGTGAAAAAAAAAATGGTGCAGGTATTCAAGAATGAAAAACCAGTGAAAAGGTTGAAAAGACCTTACTTCATGAGAATGTCGTAGTACTCCGGGTCCAGAGAAGAGAACATGCCATCTACGTCCCTAATGGCCATCATTGCTCGATGCACCACAATCCAGTTAGCCGACTGCAATGAAAGAAAACCCTAATTTAGAAGAAAGTCACAACGCTTAATAGCTGGAAAACAAGATCGAAACCCTAAACGAAAGGGGTAACGCCAACCTTGCATCGCTGATCCTTCGTGTTCGTTGGAGACCCCTCCAGAGCAGTCTTCAGCGCCTCAACCGGCTTCGATCTGAGCATTATGTAGAACATCAGGTGTTTAGTCGAAAAACAAGCTAGATATCAGAGAAAAAACGATTGTTGTGTCGGTCGTTGAGGTTAGCTTATGATCCTCTTAACTGCTTGAGCAAGTTCTCAATCTTCTTCGACTTGTGCTCGATCCGCAAGATCATGGCTTCAATGTTCTCCTCTACCTCCGCCGCCGCCGCCGCCGCCGACGCCGCCGCAGCCGCCGTG